ACTCCAATAGCATTCTACTTGCATTGTTTCCGGAGATCATGGTTTTGACAAATTCCATGTCTTCATGATGCCAGATAGGATGATACACACCTCTTTCTCTCAGGATTTTGGTCCATTCGTCATAGATTTCATTAAACTTGACTTCTTTAAGTCCACGTTTGAGTTTGTAACTCATTTCATCGACATATTGCAATCGTTGCATGGAAAAAAAGGGATGAATGGATGGTTCGAGTCCTTTCTTTTTATGAACGGTTTTCAAGATAGCTATCACCCAGAATTTTTTCCGATAATGCTTGGATACTTCCTCTTTGAAATTTTGTCATTCCCGTTTGAAGAAATCGGTCTGGTTGGCTACAGTATTGACGTTCATTATTTCGGGATAACACATGGGAAAGAATGGAAAAATTTTGGAATGTGGTTTCAATTTATATAAATAGCTTTGCTATGATTTTTTTCGGTCAGATTAGAAGATGGAGCGGATAGGAAAAGAGTGGTTATGGCAACGTATTTATCAAAACGAATCGAATGGTCGAGATTCGCTTATTCCTCGAAAAGAATTAGAAAAGGTGAAAACCAAAGAAAACGCGGATGAATTATTTGTTTATTTGATCAATGACCCTAGTCGTGTGAGAGAATGGAATTCTGGCATATTCATTGTACATATGGAGGGAATGAGAGAACAACTGAGAGGAAGAGATTACGAACAACATAAAGAATGGGTCTTTAATACCCATCCTGATAAAGTACCATCATTCAAAGAGTTAATGAGGGCGGCTTTAATCGTGTTGGCAAGATGTTGCACTAAAATTTTACTGTGAGAAAAAAAGTCGTGGGAATGAACAAGAGAAAGAAAAGAAAGTTGGATAAAGAAAAAAAGTTGGAACAGATGGTATTGAAGACGTATTTTGACTTTTCGAATCCAGGTAGTTATGGTGGATTGCAAAGGTTACACAAAGCCACGGGTGTACCCGTCAAAAAACTCAAGAGTATCATGCAGAAGAATTTAATTTACTCTTTGCATAAACCGGTACAAGTACATTATACAAGGAATCTGACCGTAGCTAATAGTATAGATCATCAATGGGCAGCCGATTTAGCGGATATGAAAAATCTCAGTAGATACAACAAAGGAGTAAAATATCTCTTGACGGTTGTTGACGTTTTAAGTAAATACGCATGGGTGGTTCCTATGAAGAATAAAACCAGTGCAGAACAAAAACGCGCGTTTGAGTCTATTCTGAAAGAAGGGAGAAAACCGTTACGTCTACAAACGGATAAAGGGAGTGAATTTTACAACAAATCGTTTCAGGAATATCTCGCGCAGCAAAACATCACTCATTTTAATACTCAAAGTGATACAAAAGCTTCTGTGGTAGAAAGATTTAACAAAACCCTCAAACAGAGGTTGTACTGAGCATTAACAGCCAACGCTACTCTCAAGTATCTGGATTTTTTACCCGATTTAGTCAAAGGTTATAATGCGTCTGTACACAATGCTATGGGTATTGCACCTAAGAATGTCACCATGTATAACGACGGAAAAGTGTGGAAGAAATTGTACAGTAAAAAATTGTTCGGTACATCCTGTAAAAGAAGAAGAAGAAGAAAGCCTATCTTTAAAGCGGGAGAGAAGGTCATGTTGAGCAAGGTTCGTAGAACCTTTAAGAAAGGATATTTGCCAGGCTTGACAGAAGAAATATTCATCGTAGATAGAGTCATAAATTCCTATGTACCATCTTATAAGATCAAGGAATACGATGGAACACCCGTCAAAGGTACGTTTTACGAGGAAGAGTTGCAAAGGTCGATATGGGTGATAAAGACACGTTTTTCCGGATCGAAAAAGTATTAAAGAGAAAAGACGGGAAAGCTTTGGTCAGTTGGAAAGGTTGGCCTTCCAAATACGACAGTTGGGTAGACGCGAAGGAAATAGTCGATTTATGAGTCATGCAGGGTAACCAGGTCACGTTTTATCTCACGCTTCCTAGTTACGGATATGACACTATCTACAGAGATAACACTCCAGGTAGTT